TCAGCATTTACCCACAACTGCACGTATGAGACAACTTCTTAAACGCGAAAATAGCGCTTCAGAGAAATACACCGTAAACTGTATGTGGCACCTGCTGCTGGGATGTGGGAAAATATCAGGGATTTTATGCTAGAGTAATTTGCAGCCACTAAATGTCCATGTGCTTGAGGATTAAGTCGGATAACCTATGATTTTAGCATTAAAAATTACCATAATTTACACTAAAAAAATCGTTAGTTCTTTGCAAACAATATCTGACTTTCTGCTTCTAGTTCTTTGATCATCAGAAACTAGACAATGAAGATAAAACTTCACTTGACCTCCTAAAAAAAAAGGAGAAAAGGTAATTGGCTGCTTTCCTAAAAAATTAATACATTTACAATACAAGGCTACTACTGTATCTATTACTATGGGGTGCCATTACAATAAATGGCACCCCCATGCATCTGCTAAACAGCAGCGTGTTTTTGCTCTGGGTGCAGGAAGGCATGCTTTTTACACGTTTTCCCACACCTGCTTAGGTTGTCTGCATTCTGGATGAAGTAGTAAATCAGACACCTTTGAACAGCAGCATTGTCAGTCTGGGGACAGGGTAGCATTAAACAAGAAGATTTACATGGATAACAAAATGAAGCTGAACACTTTATAAGCAGTTACAGAAAACAGTTTTTTTTTCTTTCAGGATAAATATTTTACATAAATGAATAAAAGCTAACCATTGTAAGCCACCTTGACAGTGTTCAATGGTTTGTCTCATCCCTCTCACTACTGCTTTGTCTGGACAGCTTGGCCTGTTTGAAAAATAGCAGGCTTACTGACTGGATCACCAAATGAAAAAGGAAGGAAAAATTTAAAAACAAGAAAACTAATTCAGCCAATACATCTAAGAATTGGTAAGCTACAAATTAACACATTTTAGTTTTTAGATCTTATACTGCTTTAAGTCACACTGATTGAATGGGTACCTTCTAATGTTTTCAAGATGGCTCCTGCCTTGCTTTATTAAAAGGACACTCAAATCTGCTGCATCTTGCACATATATTAATACCCGAAGGGTGCTTTACAGACATTAGAGAATGTTTTCCCAATCCTTCCTTGTACGTTTAGCTCCCACCCCCAAACAAACCTAGCCAAACCTGATCAAGGGGAAGCTAAGTGGCTGGTATAGATTTTCCTGGCCAATACTATTTTATCACCCATTCAAGTCATCCAATGCATAATCGCAAGCTCCTAGATTAATCTGTCACTAATTGTTCAGCAACCTGGTAATGCACGCTTGGCCATCCACCATCTTATGTGTTTAGGCTGTTTTACACTTCAAATTTGTTCACAATACTAAGCCAGAATTTTGTCACATTTAATTCAAAACTAGCTGGCAGAAGATACCTAAGAAAGAAATATACTGATGATTGAAAGCTAGTGATAAATACGTGATGATGAAGGTTGTGTGAGTGACTGAATCCTAGCAGAATAAATATTCAATCTACATGTATGCATATATGTTATAAAGTGATGAAGCATAAAGTGATAGAAGAGAGTATATAAAAAAATGTTTTCATTATAATAATAATAATACAAAATATAAGTGCACAGTAGAATATAATACATTTTCATCTATTTGTTCATATGTGCGTCCCATTAGCAACAATTATAAAACAGCTTTCATGTAAAGACATTTTATGATGTTATTGTGTTTAAGTTTGCTTTTTTTTTATTCAGCACTTGTGGAATGTTTAAGCTTTTCTAATATCTCTAACTAACAGCTTTTTATTGCTATCGATGGAGTAATCGGAAGTTGTGTTTGGCTTCTGTGTGGCTGAAAACATTCCTGTGCGCACCAGCGGCTTGATGTGTGTGTCAGCTGAAACATAGCAGCTGCCAAAAGAAATTGTTGATTTCAGAGAAAGACTCACGTGGCAATAGGTTAGTAAATAAATGTTTAACTGTCTCCTGTGATTTGTCACTAACTATATAGATCATATTGTGAATGCATTAACATCAATCAGCAAAAAGCTATTCTCAATCAGGTGTTGTTATTCTCTTTTCCATGTTTAATCTGTTTAACCTAAGCATTCACATATTGGGGTGGATTTACTACAGGCAAATAGACTTTTAAATTAGCATTGGAAATTGCAGTTTGCGAGGGAATTTTTTTCCAGAGCTTAGTGAATGAGTTGAAGCCTCGTTTCCATCATCAAACCATGTGCAAGAATTTTTTTTTTTTTTTTTTAATTTTCCATGTACATGATTTGCGTATTCCTTCCAAAGTAAAATTTCACCACATTAACTAAGCTCAAGGGAAAATTCCCTTGCGAACAGCATATTTGAATTTAGTATATCAACCCCAATAACTCTTATAGACCAAAAGTGTACATCCACTGCCCCAGGAACCTTAGAAAACACTCCTTGAAATACTGTCAGCTGTGGGCTCCATTTGTGTCCCACCAGCTGCTGTCTCCACATCCACTTCTGTCTGTTGACTGTCGGCACTGTGTGAGGCTGTCTGAGAAAGAGGCACTGTTTCACACACTTCCTCGGTGAACAAGTGTTATTGCAAGAGAAGTCTGCTGCTGATGGGACCCTGATAGAGTTCACACCAGCTGACAGGTAAATATTTCTGCAGCGGAAGTCAAAACTTGAGGTTGACTTTAATCAATAACTCATATTGCTGTAGGAAAATATGTAAACAATATCCACTATACATAAAGCAAATCCCATACCACCAACAAATGAAAAGTATGCAATGGATAAAAATAATCACGCATGGGCTGAAAGAGAGATGCTGTTTAGCACATTAAGGATTTATGAAACTTGGCAGAGTAGAGACTTAGGGGTGCAAAGTCTGTTACACTGCAAAAGCTGAGGAAGTGGGGTAGTAGTGTGTACAAAAGCAGTTGCCTAGTGTCTACAGCAGGGATGTCAAACTGTTGCAAAACTACAAGTCCCTTGGTGCCTCTGCCTTTGGGAGTCATGCTTGTAACTGTCAATCTTGGAGTGCCTCATGGGACCTGTAGTTTGGCAACAGTTTGACACCCGTGGTCCACAGTGACCAGAATTCATTATGGATAACTAATAGATACAATGTTGAAACACAATGCATGTGGTTGCGGCACAGTGGTGTTGGTTTTTTAGACGTTAGAACGCACATAACTCTTTATAGTTGACCACCCCCTCCTCCTTAAAAAAAAAACTATACTCCCTTGGCATCAGAGACTCCGCTCTCTCCTGGCTCTCCTCCTATATATCCCAGCGCTCCTTCAGTGTTTCCTATAACACTGCCACCTCCCACTCTCTCCCCCTCTCTGTTGGGGTGCCCCAAGGCTCTGTTCTCGGGCACCTTCTCTTCTCCATCTACACCTCCTCCCTTGGCCAACTGATACACTCCCACGGCTTCAACTACCACCTCTACGCCGATGACACGCAAATCTACCTCTCTATCCCTCGCCTCACCCCTTCAGTCTCCGCCCGAATCACCTGCCTACTGAACGACATATCAGACTGGATGTCACTCCACTTCCTCAAATTAAACCTTTCCAAAACCGAGCTCTTAGTTTTCCCCCCAGCCCATGCCCCCCCCTAACCTCTCCATCACGACCAATAACGCCACCATCAGTCCCATCCCACAAGCCAAAGTTCTAGGTGTCACTCTAGACTCCAATCTATCCTTCCAGCCCCATGTCCAATCGCTGGCCAATTCATGCAGGCTCCACCTCCGCAACATCTCCAAAATACGCACATTCCTAACCTCAGACACTACTACTAAACAACTCATACACTCCCTTATTATCTCACGTCTGGACAACTGCAACTCCCTTCTCACCGGCTTACCTCATCACAGACTATCCCCGCTTCAGTCTATCCTGAACTCAGCGGCCAGACTCATCCACCTTACCAACCGCTCTGTATCCGCCACCCCCCTCTGTCATACCCTCCACTGGCTTCCGATTGCCCAACGTATAAAATTCAAACTACTAACACTGACGTACAAAGCTATTCATAATACTGCCCCAAACTACCTCACCGACCTGATATCCAAATACCACCCAACACGTACTCTTCGCTCCTCAAAAGACCTCCTACTCTCCAGTTCCCTGGTCTCCTCCTCCCATGCCCGACTTCAGGACTTCTCCAGGTCTTCCCCCATCCTCTGGAAGTCACTACCCCAATCCATTAGACTGTCATCTACCCTCCTCACCTTTAGGCGCACCCTGAAAACCCATCTCTTCAGGGAAGCCTACCCTGCCCTCACCTAACAGCCAATCTCCTCCACTCCTTCTTCCACTCCATCCCCCACAGCCATTTCCTCCTGTACCACTATCTCTCCCTCCTAGATTGTAAGCTCCAAGGAGCAGGGCCCTTGAACCCCTCGTGTATTGCATTGTATTGTATTGTATTGTTACTGTATTGTCTCATGTACTGTCCCCCACTATAATGTACAGCGCTGAGCAAACTTTTTGGCGCTATATAAAATACTGTATTATAATAATAATAATAATAATAATAATAGAGTAAAGCTTGTGTAAACAAGCCCTTATGCAGTGCTCAGAGGAAAATGGGTCTACTTATAATGAGCTTGGTAAGTGAATGATCAACCGTCAATAGGGGACCAGAAGGCCCACACCCAGATTTAAGTATCACCAGCTTATAAGAGGAAATAAGGCCTTGTTCAGCCCTTAGTGTAGTATAATCTGTTGCTTTCGAAGTGTAGCTTAGGTGTGGTGGTAATGGTCCAAGAATACCTATTATTGTGTTCCTTAATTGCTACAAGTTTAAACAGCTCCATTCCTAAACGGGGAGAAATTAAAATTCACTTTCATGTGTTGTAAAAAACTAGAGAGAACACATAAGACTTAATAAGCTCTAAATTATTCACTGGCAAAAAAGTCCTATTTCAGTGCAAAAACAATCACAGAGTTATAAAATTAATTTGTCTACATACATACATACAGTATTTTCAATATTATAATGTACAAAAGACAACAGTATAAGGGAAACGGGTGTTACATACTTTTGCATTTTCCATAGTACATGACCTCCAGGTCTGGCTGTCCACGGCATTTGTGCGTGATAAGTTCACATTCATCCTGGTAAGTGTTCCCATCAGAGCCACATACAGGAATATCACTGTTGAGTCCTGAACAGTCAGGGGCGCATTCACACTGAGGACGCCCATCTTTCAGAATACATGTCTTTCCAGTGGGGCACTGGACCCCATCACAGCTGTCTGCATAAAAAAAATAAGATTAAAAAATCCTTGAGCTGAAGGGCATGCAGGCAATGCATTTTACAGATGCTGTAATCATGTTTTATTAAATGTGATGTCACATGCAGCCCTTCATATTCTCTGTCTCTGGGAGGGAGTAACACGGGGCCCTAGGATCCTTATTACAAAGGGGAGGCCCTGTCCAATCTTGTAGCTGGGCTTACAAAGCATGTAGAAACATGGGCAAAGTACTACACGTACTTTGTTCCCTAAGGAACAGAGCGCTGAAAAAACTGAAATGAGAGCTCTTTTGTAAGCCATGAAGAATTTTCCTGTACATTTCCTTAAAAGAGTGTAGTCTGATGGTCAGATCTAACAATTAGGTTTTGAGGTTTCCATATTATTAGGTACATAAAAAAGAAGGTTTAGCACATGTGCAGTACCCATGCCATCACCAAATTCTAACATCTTGCCTCTACTTAATTTCATCCATACAAGTCATATTTGTGGCTCACCTCTGCAGGGCTTACAGTTGACCAGTCCGAGAAATCCCAGCAGGCCTATTTTGTTCATGGGGTCAGTATAGTTGGACCAGGCAGTGTCTAGGTGTCCATCTCCACAACATTCATCCCATGTTACTGCTGTTAACAGCATCAAGCTGCAGGTTGAACTTGAACCTTGTAGGAGCCAGCATGTTCCCCCTGCAGAAATACACCAGAGAAACACCTTCATCTCAGTGCTACATCTAATGTAGTATGGAAAAAACAATGAAACAAAAACATGCAAAACACATTTAACAGTGCTTTGCACCAATTATTTTTAGTTAACTGGAAAACAAATTGGATTATGTGTGATAGTTTTATATCAGAGCATTGGAACTCAATAATACTTTATGCTGGAAAATAACATGTAACACATAAAAAAATTAAACATACAATCCAAAATGTAACCACTACATTTAAAGTGAAATTACGACCAAACTATGGACATTTAAGTATTTAAATTAAATTTAAAACCAGCCCTCACTGTGACGATCACGCCGTCAGACCCCCAGCTCTTCTCACCAACTCGTGTCGAAGGACTAGCCAATCTAAAACCGCGCTGTCGCGTGCGCAGCTGCAACCCTGCACAAAGATTTTCCAGCTAATGGACCACAATCTATGTACCTGCAGCCTGAGAGCGATTGTTACTGGGTCAGGTTAATTACGCGATTAACCCTTCACACTGCCACCACCGCCTTTTTGTAGAGAAAAGGAAGAAACTCGCCAATATTAGCAATAACACTATGATGTTTGAATAAGTGTCTGTATACACACTGTCACCGCAGGCAGAGATATACAGAAGTTTAAAACACACAGTAGCACTCTTCAGAGACAGGGATTCTTAGTTTGAATTAAAGAGCTTTAGAAACAGTTCAACACTTTTCAGATAATAAGATTTATTACTAAAAAGGTCAAAATGGTGCAATAAAAGTATTTACAGAAAAAGATGTAGCCAATATATATATATATATATATATATATACATATAAATACAGAGAGCAATAACACAGCAAAGAGATAACAGAAAGAAGTTTAGAGAGGTAGAGTACTTGCCAAAAGTCCTGGGTTAAGTAGATCAAGTTTCAGAGCAAAAGGGTACCGTCTCCCAAGTTGGTTCCGATGTTAAAAGGGAGAATTCTTCAACTTCTGCTCCAAATATAACAGTCTTTTTCTAGGAACTCAGCAGGGTGTCTCCTTAAAGCAGAGAACCAATCGCCTCATTTGGGGAGGGGTGTTGTAGACGGGGAACTCAGGCTATGACCAAATCCCGCAAACGTTATACCATGGTCAATAACCTTCCCTAGGTACATGTAGCCTAGCCACTAGTAGATTAATATGCAGAACAATATTCTGAACGTCCAGGCATCAAATATGGCATAGTTCACTATTTCAGGGGTGTAAGATGTCAGACGACTCGCATTAAGCTGAGCTATCCGAATATGTGCTTTATTTTTATGTAATTATTTCCTACCTTAAGATATGAAATTATAGGGAAAAGTGGGTTTTAAATGTGAGGCCTGTTTACGGCTACCTAGGAATGCGTTTGAAGCCCAGTGAAGGACAGGATTATGGCTTTATGATTATCTCAGATCGAGAAGCTAACAGACACCCAGGCACCAGCTAATTTGGGATTTATAACCATGAAGCTCTCCCGCTGTGCCTGATTGCCTGTGCACTTCTGAACCCAGCACACAGGGACCATGTGTCACTCAACAGAGAGGGAGCGGGGAAGCTGATTTTAAGTAGAAATGATACAAGGTGGAGGGCCTTTGGCAAAATGGAGGTTCGCATCCATCTCTGTACGTACAATTGCTACACCTCCCCCCGCAGGTGGTTGCATGGGAGGGAGCTGCAATTTCCCTCCTGACGCAACCGACTCCTGCTGCTGGTTTGGCTGATCAGGGCACAGATCCATTCTGCCCAGAGGTTCACCTTGGGGTGATCTGGTACAACTGCACTGCGGGAGAACCAGGTTCCTTCTGAGAAGAGTGCTGTTCTCCCCAGTAACACTGTTGGGCCAACCAAGTGAGTTGTCAGGGGTGAGCACCAGTCGGCTGTGCCTACCCGGATATTGTGGCAACTGCCGTGGTGCCCACCTGTTCACAAAACACTTCTGTTCAGGGGTGTCATATGCTAACATATTGAGATGTAGCTTCTTGTCGAGGTAGAGAATGAGATTTCCATCTCCAATCTCCTTCCTCAGGCCCAGGACTACATCTGACCCGAAGGTAGTGGCGCCTGTGTGCACCGGAACCGGACAGGCGAATTCTGGAACTCGCCTTTCTGGATGTGTCTACAGGTACCTTCGTCCAGGATGAACAGTCCTCTCTACCTGCTAGCATCCAGGACACCATTTCCATCAGTTTCCTGTCTGCTAGGTCAGTCACAGGTTCAGCTGAGCCATGATAGTTGCACCCAGGCGTCTTACCATAGCCAGCTGTACCCAAGACTGACGTAACCTGCTTTTTGGCCTGCGTAGTAGGCCAGGCCATAACTGCCTCAGTCTGCCCATTTTCAGACCTCTGGGGGTCTCTTCCTACCGGTGGTTCCCAGTGCTGAACCACTGACATACCCTTCTGACAGTTACCATTTTTGACTGTCAGACTAGGCACAGGCAGTTTGTTCCTGACTAGTGACAGGGGTCCAAGTTGCTCTTCCCAGACAGGGCCAAACAGTGCAAGACCCCTAAAGTGGGCAATTGCACAAAGTTTCAATCCGCATTGTAGGACATTTCTGACCCCTGGGGAGGTGGTTGGTGTGTTCTCAACACCAAATAGCTTCCCCGTGAATTCAGGCAAGCCACATGGGGTGGTGAAAGCTGACTCATCCTGAGCCTCCTGGGTTAGAGATGGTGGCCCATACCCTCTGTTCAGATCCATGATGGTTAGACAGCGGGCACCTGCCGGATGCTTCATTACCTCATGGCTCCTGGGCATGGGGTAGGCCACAACCACAGGGCTGGCGCTCAGTTTTCCAAGGTCCTCACAAAGCCTGGTCATCTGATCCTGTTTGGGGACCAAGACTACCGGTGGTGCCCAGACCCTGCGGGACCTCTATATCCCTGACTGCGATATTCCCACTGTCTCTTTGGCCCATTCAGTCTGCACCTCCTGTGAGGTGAGGTGGGCATGAGGGAAGGATAAACCCTGCCATCCAACGCATGAACAGCACGGTGAGCTCTCCCAGGGTTTCCCTGGACCCAGTCACCATCTACCATCTACCATCTACCATAGGCCTTGCCAGCAGCTTCTGTACCTGAATGGAAAGGAAAGGTGATTGGAGCTGAAGGCCGAAGCTCCCTCTCTGAGGACTGGCTATCAACTGCAATGGGGCCCCTCGCACTTCCAATCCCGGTATGCTGTCACTGCCTATGACATAAGTGGGTCTGCCTGGTGTGTGGGGAGTGAATCTAAGCCAGAAATAGTTGAAGGGGGCTTCCTCCCTGGCTTCAGATTTTCCCCATACACTTTGACAGGCTAGATCAGGTGACACTCTTTCAGTCCCCAAGCCCCCTGCTGGTAAACCCATTAATTTCACTGTCAAGCCATTATTTACCTTTCTCAGCAGGGAAGCTCACAGCTAGCCTGCTGATGGATGCAATATTTTGGTCAGTCCCCAGTGCTGCCTTGGCCCTGGGACTAGAAGTCCCAACTAGCTGTTGTTTACCTTCCTCAGCAGGGAAGCTCACAGCTAGCCTGCTGATGGATGCAACATTTTGGTCATTCCCCAGTGCTGCCTTGGCTTTGGGACTACAAGTACCAACCAGCTGTCCAATACCATACAAAGACAACTGCTGGGCGGTTATCAAGGTAGGATCCTCTGAGCCGGAGCAAGAAAAAGGCCTATCCAGACCATCCCTTTGCTCAGCACCCAGAGATTGTACCTCTGCCCACTTCACAGCACTGTGGGTGACCCCCAACAATGAAAATGCATCATTATAATCATCATCATTATCATCAACAGTATCAGTATCAACATCATCGTTTTCATTATCATCATCATTATCAATATCAGCATCATCGTCATCATTATCATCATCATTATCCACAGTTACGTATGTAATATCAATGACACATGAGTTCATTACCTCCCCATACAAGGGGATTTCCTCTCCTTCTCCAGCTAATGGAGAATCCTGTAACCCCACTCTATTCCCAGCCCCCTCCCTCTGTCCATCCACAGATTGCCCAGACATTACCCCAACATCTGCACACAGTACCTTGGCGTGTCCAGAGAGTTCCAGGGGGGCCTCCAGGGTGTTCTTGGCAGGGGCATAGTAGGACACAAGAGTACCCAAATCAGCACCCAACAAAACAGGTGTGGGAATTTCATCCGAGACCCCCACCTCCCTCATCCCCCTTCCCGCACCCCAATCGATGAATACCTTTGCACGGGGTATGCGTGAACGGGTCTCCCCAACTCCCATGAGGGTAAGGAACTTTCCTGGGATGAGGTTCCTTTGCTCAATCACCTCTGGTCGGACCAAGGTGACTTCTGCCCAGGTGTCACGGAAACCAGTTACAGACCAGTTGCCAACAGTGACTGGCTGCAAGTTGGCGGGGGTTACCCGAGTCTTCCTGCGGACAAACAGTACTGAAGAAGAGTTGCTGGCCGGCTGCCCAGGTGATGTCATCTGCTTCTGCTCAGGACACTACGTCCTGAGATGTCCGGGCTTCCCACAGGTGTAATATCTGCGGTTGTCAGGAAGGAATGGCTTGGCCCCAAGTACTGCAGGTGTTGGGTGAGGGGAAGCTTGACTCACCAGCGTAGGAGGGGTTGCTGTGGGCGATTTCCCTCCTTTCCAGCCATGAGGAGGAGCCTTGCGAGGGTCAGACACCCGCGTGTGGACATAGGTATCTGCCAGATCGGCTGCAGCTTTGGCAGATACGGGTTCTCTCTCCAATATAAACTGTCTGACATCTGCCTGGCAGATATGCAGTAGCTGATCTCATATCATGAGATCCTCCAGAGACTTGTAGGAGTCAGCTTTCAGTTCTCTGGTCCACTGCCGGAATGTCGTGCGTAAGCGGCGACTTACCATACTGTATCTGTGTAAGAGTCCTCAGGTCTCTTTTGCGAGGACCTAAACCGCTTGCAGTACAGTTCCTGGGT